ATCAAAATAGTAGCAAGTGTTAGGCTCGGGTGGGACACCAATTAGATCTGAGTATGACTGGCCATTCCAGTCTCTCTTGTCTTTGCCAGCAATATTATCTGCTTATACTGCCAACTGCGACATATTTTTAAGATTTCGCCTCTTAAGTCTTATTGAACGGTGGACCCGACACTTGATTCGATTGATTCAGTTAACGGGTAGTTTCGTACGCAAGCCAGGTGCCCGTGCATTTTATGAGCCGAGGCCTTACTTTGACCTGTCTTTCTGAAGGTTTGGATGAAGTGACTTAATTTTTTTTGGAACTTTTTCTTACCTTAGAAATTGAAAAGGAAAAGAAGAAGGAGAAGGTGGAGACTGCTGTGCTCAGTATTACCGCGAAGCACCGCAAGAAGGAGCTTGAGAAGAAAAAACCACAGCCTTCTGCCTCAATCCCCACACCAGACGGCGCCGAGAAGATGGACGTGTAAGTTTGTGCAACTACGGAAGCATGCATTTTATTTTAGCACCTACAATTGCCGAGCTTGCTGTCCAAGTTGCGTTTCGGAGATAGGCACCTTTAGTTTATTCGGACTAAGGGAGAGAAAGGGTAGTCTGCCCACTCGGCTGTTAATTTACTGTAATTGTACCGTCGTACGTCGATTTTTAAATAATTCCCGAACAGAGCTCCAGGTCATGTCTCCAGTTTCAGTGCCGTTTTTTGCTGCTTCGTGTTCAACCGAAAGTGGAAATATGTGTTGAATAGTAGTTGGGTCGTTATTGTAATTTCAGGTGAGGTTTTACGGCCAACTATAAAGGCTTAACATATCCAGAGGTGGTCTGCCAGAGATGGCCTATCAACGCATCACAAGTGTTACGGTGTTGTACAGACCTCTTTTATTGGTCTAATGCCGGGGTCGGCAACCCATGGCTCACGAGCCATATATGGCTCTTTTGATGATCGCGTATGGCTCTTTCAGAAACTTGATATTTTATGATTTTGGTTAATCTTTAGGGGTCTAAGTAGTAGGTTGTACTCGGATCACTACAACCATCAGGCTATATCCCAGGTTGGAAGTTAAAAGACACAAGTCACCAGAAAGAGTGATTTATTATGTACAGAACTCCCA